AACCACATAATATTGCAGATCTGAAATAAGGCAGGCAGGGCATCCCTGCTGAAAAGCTACCCAGCAGGACAACCCCTTTGTTCTTTTTTAAAATAAACTAATTCAAGGGAAATGTTGTCTAAATCATTGATTCTAAATGTATACAGAATTTCCTCCCTGCTCCTCCCCCCACCACCCCCCCCCTTTTTCCTGATGAGCTATCAAAGGGCTTTGCTATTATTGTAAACTGCAAAAATGGTTTTAATATGCACTTTTGTCATTTCTAGGTGTATAAATTTTTCCTTTGCAGGGATTTTACATGGCACATATTGTGATCACCTGTGGGTAGGGTAGTTAATTAGCAGTCCAGGTCCTATTTCATTTAATTTATACTGGAGCAATCTAAACTAGCAGAATGATTACAGCCACACTCAGTAATTTAACTCCCTCCTTTCAAAGCTGTTTTAGTAATTATACTTGGGTTGCAAGTTTTCAGAAAGCTTTTACAGTACTTGTTTTCTGGCCATGTAAGCTCCCTCCCTTCTCAGCTCCCTTCAATCCTGGCTTTTGTCCTTCTGGGTACTGTTGGCTGCATTCCATTAAGAAATTAGAAAGGATGCAGCTGTCATTATTTTGTCAATCATAAAATCTAAGACATGGAAAAAGTCTTAGGAAGGCAGGGGAGTCATGTAACTTCTATTGAGAAAACAGATTATTCCTCAATACTTCCAACAGTACTTTCACTTGACCTAAAAGGAAAACTTTTATGTAGTGGACTTTTATGATCCAGGCTTGGATTTCCCAGTGGATCACTGAAATATGTGCACATAAACATCACTTTATACTTGGTTTGGAAATTCTCAAAAGCCACCCTTAGCACTCTTGGAGAAGAACTCATTTAATAATTCCATTTTGAGCCCATCATTATTAAAAGTTTTGATCTATAGCAATAATTTATCTACCTACAATGACACCCATGGCATAGACAATATGCCTGCAGCCCAGACCAAACCAAAGCATGTTTCTTGTCACAGTGATTGGAAAAACAATAGCATGTAACTGGTAATGTGGATCTAAGCTTCTCACTTGCAGCTTGGCAGTGGAGGTCTTGCTCCCTGTGTGCCCTTTTAAAATTGATCCTATTTTACAGTGACCTTGAGACTTAGCAAGACTTTCAGGGATGGAAAGACTTTAAAAAATCCTGCTTTTGGTTTTCTCTCTGAAATGATAGAAGAAAAATAATTTCACTGTAATGTCAAGATTCCAGAAAAAAATTGCAGTTTTGTCATTGGAATTTTTATTGCAAAGTAGCAGACAAATAGGTTAGTGCTCTCAGTACTGTAAGAGAGCTGGCCTTTACAGATGCTGCTAGTATTGCCAGTTAACCATATTCTCATCAGACATGCATCCCAATTTGAAATGAAGTAATTTCATAAATTCCTATGAGTTTCTGTATGTCTGCTACAGATTACACACCAAAGATCAAAGTTTTAACATCTGTTCATGCTGGAAAATATTTTTGTGTGTGTGTTTTCTTGGCTAAAAATTATTATTTAAGTATGTCAAATAATTTGGTACTTATGAAAAATTCCTTCCTGACCAGTGTTCATCTTGTTTGTGTGTATGGAAGCACAAATCTCAACAGTTACATCACTTTTAACTTAAACAGCTGGTGGCAGTGTAATTATTTATTTTCTTGAGTCCATGGCCTTTGGAGACACAGATTTCCAGTCACTGGTTAGTTTCCAAGTAGTGGGAAACCTTTTGTAAAATATGGCACTTCAAGAGAGGGAGGGAGGGCTTTTCTTTAGATAAGAAAAGTGTCTGTGGATTGTGTTTGAAGAGACAATGTATGATTAATGATTCTCTATTCACTGGAAAACAGCAACTCTTATTAAGTGAAATGAGAGTGCATCAGAGTAAAATGCAGCCTGACTGAAAAAAAACGAACTGAGCCTAGGAAATCCAAGCATCAACCTATTTTTCTGTGCAGTGAAAAACAAAGTGTGGATGTATTGGGCTCATATTTTCAGTGAAGCAGCCAGATATATTTTGTTGCTTTCTCTCTACCTTATGGATTGGTCCTGAACTCTGCCAAGGGTTGCATGTTACTTGTCTGGGCTAATGAGTAAGTTATCAAAATACGAGATTTATGACAGCAGTCAAGGAATTAATGAGCAGAGTTCTGAGGGCTGAGGAAGCCTTTGCAAATCCCCAAAATAGAGAGAAATCTCTGCTTGAATCATCTTCTGTTGTGAGTTGGTATGGCATCTGCTGCTCCAAGTCTAAAAGCGGAATGAATAGACAAAGAGTTTCAGATGTACAAGCTATGCTTAATCACCAAATAATAACAAATAGGAACTCCCAACAGCCCTCTGTGAGATCACGTTCAAATTAGCTACACATTCAAGTTTTAGAGCAACAATTTCCTCACTTCTATTTATGGGAAAACTGTAGTATATATACCAGCCACAGAACTTCAGTATGACATGACATGGATGATTTCCTAATTGACTCACTCTCTATATTCCTTCATGCATGGTCTTTTAGGAGCTTTTTTTCAATGAAGCTCAATGTAGAGCTCTTCTCAAGAGCACCTCCTGGCCATCTTTTAGATGCGAAGAGCAAAAACATTTCATGGTGCCTAAGAGAAATGTTTTGTCTGTGAACCTTTGTACATTAGTCCCAGCTATATCTATTTGCTTCCTGTGTTTTCATGTCAAACTGTGTCAGATGATGCAGAGTAGAGTTTGATTTCTACATAGTATTTTTCATACTGGAGTTATCCCACTAGACACAGGCAAGTTACGAGTATTATCAGAGGCTGTTAAGTCTGCTTAGTGGGTAAGCTGAATAGGGAAGTCAAGTTGTGGTTAATAATAATTCACACAAAACCCAGACAATGAGAACTCTTGTTTGAGTGGGAGAGTAGGGAAATCTTGGCCATAGACTCAGAGTATATCACGGTATCCCTGATTTTTTTTCCTTTCATTCTTTCCTCTCTCACCAAAACTCCCTCTTGGTGTTTAAAACTCAGAGAGTAGCAATCCAAAGCTTACTTTTCATCTGCTCCTTAATGTCCCTTTTTCTCATTCTGGCAGCCATAAAATACTGCACTTTGATACTGCACTTTGCTGCATTAAGGATGAAGGGTTTTAGGAGTATATTTCAAAGGTATTAGACACCTAAACAATGCAGTTAGGATTGCAGCAGGATTTTTCCAAGGTAAAAGCAGAAGTGGGAATTATGTGCCCTTTTGCTTTTTTAGCTGCCCAAAAAGTTAAAAAGAAGAAAAACAAACAAACAAAAAATCCTGCATTATTTCCTCTTGAGGGTCACTGGTCCAAGATCCACTTAGAGAGAAGCAGGGCTGAGTCATTAAGTTAAGAGGAAGCTAGAACAGCAATTGGAAATAGCAGAACTTTTAGTATTTCAGAAATATTGGGCCCATTAGAGTTTGTGTGGTGTTCTAAAGAACAAGATGTGTGTCTGTCCCTTGTGATAGAACCTCCTCCAGCACATTTCCACAAGATTGTATCTTAGGCCCTCAGATTGCATTCTGCTCATGACACACATTTACATTCTGGGTACTAATGAAAATAAAGCAACACTCAAAAAAAACCTCACACCAGCATTTGAATCTATTAATTCAAATAATGTTATGTGAGTTGCTGTCTGAACTATCTCTGCCAGATGGTTTAACACCATTCTATGGGTCTCTCTTGATAACACCAATCTATTTTGGATGAAGCTCTACCTTAGTCAATGACATAAAGAGCATTTGCACATTTACCCAATGTGTAGAGCAACTGGGTGCCTTGCTGCTTATCAGCTTCAAAGCTGGTATGTAGTCAGGTATTGAATACAGAGCCCTGGCCAGAGACCCTGCCACCCAGAATCACCCATAATCTGATGTTAAAAATTTCTCAAAAAGTAGAAGGCTTAAAGAGAGTTTTCTTACAACATGGAAAAGTCGTGTGGATGTTCCTGTTTTTTTCATTGCTGAAAAGAAGAAATTTTTTTCCAATTTCTTGCATGTATAAATCATGCCTTTGCATTTCTACTACTTGGCTTTAAACAAACACAAAAATAATACAAATTGATGCCTGAAAGGTAAAGAATATGCTTTTTAGAAGACTGAGTGAAAACAAATGTTAGTTTTGGGTCGACTGAAACATTTAATTCCACCCAAAACCAATTGGTCACACAAGGCTAAATAAAAGGTGCTAGAACCAAGCTATAAAAGCTGTTGCCAGAAGCAGAGCTGAATGTGAGCTACTCAGTGCTCTGAGGCTGTCTGTCTAGCTGTGGTTCAGTCACTAGAGAAGAAATACATATATTTTCAATTGACAGATAGTAAAAACTTCCTTCCTTCCCCACCTTCACTGCAGGTGGCTTCTTCATCATACACTGTCCCACCCTCTCTCCCTGCTTTGAGCCACAATTAGCACATATTTTCAAAATAAAAATAAGCCTCTCCCCTCTGTCCTCCCAGCTGTGCTTCCCACCCAGATTTCCATTATGAATCAAGACAAGTACATGTGTTTAAAATAACAAAAAATGTGTCTTTCTTCCCCCTCCAGGCTTGCTGTCTTTTTCTACCTATCATCTCAGCTTCACTGAAATATTTCCTGGAGGGCTCCACAGTTTCTGCTGAGCTGAAGGTGCCTCAATGATCTGATTTCTCCTTCAGTGTTTTTAGAGCACCACAAGACAACCATTGCCCAGCAACACTGGGCAATAAGTCTCTGTCACACTTGTTTAAGACAGTCAGGCACCAAGGGACAAGGCAAACTGGATGGAGGCTCAAAGACCAGAGGGGTGAAAGCTCTACTTATCCCCAGGGGTTCCACTGCAAAGTTAAGCTCAGTGAGAAACAGGCCCTGCACAAGCACTCTCAGTTTGAACATTAGCTGGGGTGCAGAACACGGATCTACAGAGGGGTGGGAGAATACCTTTGCTGGGCAGATTCACATAGATCCTGCTAGACGGATTAAAAAATAGGTGCCAAGGAAACTTACCCATGCAGGAGTCCCCTTACTATTCTGGCAGAAAATAACAGGCTTTCCATAGATTGACATGACACGTCCAGCAACCCTTCTCTAAGATGGAAGCATGTAGGTTGGTTGGAAATATGATATTTTCACCATGATGAGGATAGTTATGTCCAACAGCCTTCTCCATGCGTCAGTTTTCCTCTGAAACACAATTGTATAAACACCTATTAAATACCTTAAAACACCCCAGAACAAGCTTATTTGTATTTAAAGGTTGTCAATAAAAATACATATTTGAATAATGTATATTTTCTCAGAGAAGTTTTTATTCTGTTTTTGTTCAGTGTTGCATGTTTTCCACGCCAAACACTTGGTACCACCTCTTGAAATCCAATCCATATTTTTCCAAACCAAATCCTGCTTCATGATTCTCAGCCTCCAACATTTGAGCTTCCATTCAGACTTCAGATGACTGTTTCATGCAACCAACAAACTGAGTTTCTATCCTTAGGTCCCTTGTGTTCTAGTGGCATCCTTAGGTTCCTGTGTTCTAGTGTAACTCTGCTACAGATAAATAATGTTTGAGACAAGTTTGTTCCAAAGTCCAAAGCTGGCATTGTTCAGACACCTCCCTGTAAAATTTCCCCACAATGAAAACCACTGAGGATGTTCTCATTTCAAGTGACTTGCAAGAAGCTGCAAGGACCCTGGTTGCTTTAAATAAGCTTGGTAGACTAATGCAGAAAAAGTTATTTTTTGCCTGCCTAACCCCTAGGATTGCATTCATAAGCAAGGGGCCATGGATATTGGCTCAGTTTGCTACTGGTTGAAAGGGCATATTTTGTACAAAATTGTTAGAATTTCACATTCTACAGTTGTCTTATCCCAGTATCTTACATCCATACACAGAATTTCAAGCCTGGCTGATGAACATTCCAGAATGTCAAGTATGAGCCCTGTTGGCAGAGCAGAGCAGGTCCTGAACCCTGCCAATCTCTCTGAGCCCTCAGGGTGAGTGGCCAAAGCAAGGGCCAGCTAACAGCCACCATGCACATGCCAAAATCAGACCCTTAGCCCATGGGATGGGCACCTGCCTGGCTTGCTCTGCCCAAGTCAAGCACATGTACTCCAGGCAGGTGCATCAGCTTTTTCTTTTCCAGAAAACACAGCCTAACTCAAATACAAACATTCATAAAGGCATTATCCAGCAAGCCAGAGGGCACATTTAAAGGGCAACTCCTAGTATGTATATCACAATTGCATTACTACTGCTCTGGAGTAATTTATTTATTCAGGCTTCTAAAGGCTGAAGAGGCCAGGACAATAAGCTAGCCATAGGTAGGCACCACCTCTGTGTGCTGAACAATTTATGACTTGTTTCCCAGTTTTCCATTAAGGGATCTCGCATTCAGTATACCAGATTTGATGCCTCCACATATACCAAAGAGTTCATAAGGAAGAGGACAGTTTTGGTCCTCAAAAAAAAGGACAATGGATGATTCTGCTACAGAACATTTCTTGCCTATGCAGATTCAGTATCCAGGGGGGTTAATTTGACAATGTAGTTGTTCCCTTGAGGGCTTAGCCTCCTTCTCCAGCAGTCTTTGAAGGAGAACAGCACACAGGTGTCTCCCCTGGCAGAGCTCTGCCTGGCACAGGCCATGGCCAGTTTCAGAGCCAAGCACTATGGATGAAATGCAGCCTCTTATCTTCTCATTAACAGAGATCAGAACAGGTCTTCAACCCACAGCAAGGTTGTAGTTTATCTTCATTGCCAATACAAGTTAAAACACATTTTTACTCTTCCCAAAGCAGCCTGGCTCCCCATGAGTGTCCCATCCTGGAGGATGAGCTGTCTCTATGGGGGTTGCCCCCCATCCCGCTCTGGCTGCTGCCTGCCCTGGCCCTGCACATCGGCAGCTTGGAGACAGCTCAGCACCAAACAGCAGCTGCTGCAGAGGGCAGCTTGGCAAGGGACACGTGGCCAGTGCAAGATGGGCTTGGATGCAGAGGGGGAAGGGGTTTTGGCTGCCTGTGGCAGTACAGGTACCATATGCTCAGGGTCAAGCCTGAGCAGCCTGGGTGGTTTGGAGTGAGGCAGTTAATAGATCCTTGATTGCAGCCAGAATTCTGTACTATTTGTACCAGAGTCAAACAGGCCTTGATCTCCCACAGCTCCTTTGGAAGGAAACTCTGTCCTGACCCTCCTAGGTAAGCTACAAAGTGATGCCCTAAAAGTAGAATAAGTGTCTGCCCAAACTATCTACACCCTGATCTTGATGCTGTGAAGAACCTTGGTGGTAGGAGTGACCCATGAAAGGGCAGGATGAAGGATTGTAGGATCCCAAGCACTTGGTTGGGGTCTGCTGGGAGCAGGGAACCGAAAGTACTGCTGCCTTTCCTCTGGCTATCAGGCATGTCAGAATGCAAAGACTGCAGTAAATGCTTTGATAGTCCTGTAGACATGAGGCATGAACTGCACCAAAGGAACACAAGGAACACAAGGAAAACCACACCTTGTTTATGCCATATTTATGCCTGGTGAAAACATCTGTCAAAGAAAACACCTTCCCCCCCCTTTTTTTTTTTGCTTAAGAGTAGGGTTTGCATGCATTAAATTAATTCTAGGCAGAGATTGTACCTTTGGAAGATAGAGTTTGGAGTAATAGATTTTTTTTAATGCTTGGTTTTAATTTATTGCGTGAGCAATGCTCAAAACATTTTAAATGCTGCACAAGCATGCCCAGGGGAAAAAAAAGTAAATTGAATCATTTACAGAGAACAGGATGGTGTAGACTTTCTGTTGGAGTAATCGGGCAGGGGAGAAAATATTAATATCTTTGCATTTTAAAGTTTTGGTGTGCTTGTCATAACCTTCCACTAGCTTTTGCATTCACTGACTAAAACCTGGCTACCAGATGGCATTATTTGGCTTTGCCTGTGCTTCTGAGACACCCTAGTATCATCCTGTACTCTATCCAGAACCCCTTGGTGTGTTGTTATACAGTAAGAGTGAGTCTGGCACCTTTCATTAGCAAACCATGCAATAAATAGTACGAGATCCCCAGGAACAAGCTGGTGCTGTTTTAATGCTCATTTAAGTCTAGTGTTTTTCTGGCCACTCTTCTCTGGATTTTAATTTATATCATAATTTCATACTTCTATTTTTGTTTCTGAAAACATCAGGAAAAGGAGGCATAAAAGCTTCAATCAATTAATTCCTCTGCCATTAGTTTTCTGTCTTTATAATTCTAATATCAGTATTGATTGGAGTTAACCCCTAAATTTACTGCTATAAATAAAAAGCAAATTGCCCCAAATATATTTCTCATCATCTTCCAAGTATTTATTTCCTACAGCAATTTTTGTTTCTCTGCCTCACTCCAGTGATGCCTATCAATATTTTTGGCTTTTAATACACATTTTATGAAATTATTCATTTCTTAAAATGAATTTTTCCCCCTATTAAAACTCTATGAAGAAACTTATGAGGTTAAGGAGCTATGACATTTCATAATCAGTTGAGTAATAATCCTCACATATTACTGATAGCTAAATTTTAGTTCTATTAATATTTTTCTTATGGTTTCTATTCTCTGCAGTTTGGGGCAACCCTTTGTAGCATTGAGTGGTGCTGTGAGCTGTGTCTTTCATCTCCCAACTTGCTCAAGTGCTTGTGGTGGCTACCTCCAGCCTTAGGCACTGCAGAACTGTGTTTCATAGTTTATAGAGGCTTTGGGTCTTGTTTTTTTTTTTTTTTATCAAATCAGTTTAGAGAACAATCACATTAAAAGTTCCAAAGCTCTTTTAAAACAGGTGGTTAGCAAGCCCTGAACTATGAGGCTTTATCTGTCAATATTGGGACAAAAATCCCTACTTGCAAGAAGATGTTTGGCCCTTCAGCCTCAGTTCTCTTAGGGAAACCATTACAGATCTTGCAAGATATGTGCCTCAGTATGGATTAACTGAAGGATTCCTTTAGACCTGATGTTCTCCTGAGCTGCTCCTGGCTGTGGTCATGTAGATAAACCTGGGCCCCGTGACCTCTCCTGTTTCTCCACACAAAACTAATTCCTTTGAAGTCAGACTGTGACCTTTCTGAACATGGGCTGCAATGACAAAGTGTGTGCATGGGGCATGGACTCTGAATTAGGAGAACCCCGCAGTAGGATTCAATTAAGATTACATCACAACTGCTTGTTAGTATCCAATTTTAAAGGTATAGAAGGAAAATTCATGGTCATTAACCCATATAAGTGATGAAGGAGAACCTTGACATCCTGCTGCCATTAGGTAAGTTGTGTAGTAAAGCTCTTCTGATAGGGCCTGGTGCAAACTGCAGAGTCACTGCCCTTGCATACACATTTGCCTCTGAGCTGAATTCTGTTTTCTGTAGCTAAAGCTCAAGGACTTCCAGGTACATTTACAAAATTTTAGGGCTCCACAGTTCCTTTTGCCAGTGCCTCCAAGTAATGGCTTTTGTTCTGTCAAGCTTGAAATGTCTTGCAGTTAAATTCCACATCGAAATCTGAAGACAAAGCATTGAATATAGTGAGTATCCACAACCATTCATTCACTGTATCTCCATAATGGAATTGCTTGCCCATGTGGTTAAATAACATATCTAAGCAAAATGCAACTCTTCAGGAATAATAATCTACATATTAAAATAATATTTGTCACCTACTGTTGGATTCCTCTAGTGATATTACAGTGAAGTGATATGAAGAACAGGAATAAACATTTTTAATTTGGTGACATGTTTTCAGTATTTCTATAGAACTGGGTCCTAATGCAAAGACATCACCTGTGTTTGAACATTTGCTTCTTTGTCTCTTTTTGTAACCCAAAGTGGTACATAGGACAAAGGTAAATATCCTTCTGAGTACAGTATGAAGCTATTTCTTGTAAGAGGGAATCAAAAATGCTGTCTACTTTTTTTTCTCTAACCAGATAGTTTAATACAATATTTTCTTTTTTTTAGAATCAGAATTGTCAAGGTTAGAAGAGACCTTTAAGATCACTAAAAACAACTATCAACTCAGCATTGTCACTGTAACCCCCCAAACCACATCACCAGCATTGGACACCTCCTAAATGCTTCTGGGGATGGCAACTCAGGATGGCAACGGCAGGGCCTGGTGGGACAGCCAGCATTCACCATGGAAATTAGCAGACACATCTTCATGGAGGTCAACAAG